AGATAGATAGATAGATAGATAGATAGATAGATAGATAGATAGATGATAGACAGACAGACAGACAGAGCAAGATTTTAAAAAACTCTAACATTATATAAATAAAAGTATGAATCTTTAGACTGTGATATAAACCCACCCCTATATTATAGTGGCAGAATAGACTATGTATCCTGTTCTCAAGATTCTATAACCGATCCCTTTTTTTCTCTTTTAATGAATCTAATTATTAAGACGGTTTGGGAATCTAGCCGTTTTAGGTAAGAGAGGCTGCTAGAGACCTGAAAATGAAATATATACATATTTAGGTGCTACAGCAGTTTGTTTTGCTATTTTACTGACGTTTATTTTGAATTTTATTTTATCTTGCAATCTGCCCAAAGTTCTCTAATTATTTGCAGATTTTAAAAAGCACTGAATAATTAAACCTATTGCGTTCATTCCAGGGGGATCGTATGTGGCATTTTGCAGTGTCTCTCTTCCTGGTTGAATTATATGGAAACAGTCTGCTCCTAACTGCTGTTTATGGATTGGTTGTGGCAGGATCAGTTCTTCTTCTAGGAGCCATTATTGGAGACTGGGTAGACAAGAATTCAAGGCTCAAAGGTTAGTAGTGTCATACAATATTGAAGAATATTTGCATATAACAAGGGAAATCTAAATCACAAAAAAAGCATAGAATTTGCTGAAACAATTGTGTCAGTGCCAAGCTTTTAATTACAGTATGCCTAATTTAAAGTGTGCCCTTTTGGCTAGTTGCACCTAATTAAGCTTGAAAAACTTTACCAGACTTACTTACCATCCTAAAATAGAATGCTCAGCTGCATAGCCAAAGATTTCCCTAAGGTTTCAAAGATAGTTGATTTTGGAACGCTCTGAAAAGACTACAGAAAAGCCATTTACGTGGAAGACCACATGAAAGTCATGGGCTAGGCTGGTAGATTAAACAAACAAACAAAAAGTGGTAAACCATTTTTTGTATTGCTGCCAAGAAAAATTAATGGCCATCTTCATCAAGCACCAGATACCAAGCTTGATTTAAAAGAGACTTTTCTCTCTAACGCAAAATTAAAAGGTTTACATCCCAACTTCAAAAAAAAAAACAACCCCAACTTCTATTAACATTGATGTAAAGAATTTCACAGAATAAGTGTCTCGTTCAGAATGACTATGCAAATAACAAGTGGACTGCCCAGTCATATCTGTGTTTACTTATTTTTCAAGAATTACAGACTTCACTGGAATTTACTCCATAATGAGGCCCGGCTCTGTAGGATCTGCAACTACTTTAGAATAGTAATTTGAACTGTTTATTAAAAATGCACAGTAGGGACGCTACCTCATACTTCCGTGGCTTCTGTAATTGTGTTATGCACTCTTCAGAATTAATGTGTTTAAGTTATTAATACGACTTAAATCTTGTCTAAGCATTTGACTAAATACTTCACAAATAATTATCTTGTCTAAGCAAAGCTAATTTTGAATAATTAATGCTCATTAGATGTAAACATCAACTACTCAAGCTGGGTGTTTCCTCCTTGATAAGTAGCATTAGCAATTTGAAAATGATGCCTTCACACCAGGAAGGGACCGTCCATTGTCTGGTGCTGTTTAAGCATTAATGCAAAAATGAATGTCTCACTCTCTTTTACCTGTTAAATCCATATTTAGGACATAGGCCTAAAAATGTTGCCTTGAAAACAGGTGTAAACATCTTGATACAATAATAAACTGAAATATTTCCTATTTTAAGTATTGACATTGTGCTCCCTTTCTTTTCTCCTAAACAGTAGCCCAGACGTCCTTAATTGTGCAGAATGCCTCAGTGATTTTGTGTGGCATCCTTCTCATGATCGTCTTCCTGTTTAAAGCGCAACTTTTAAATTTGTATCAAGGATGGCTTCTTGTAAGTGCACAGAACTTAAAAACATTTATAAGCGTATACAAAGTACTTTGCCATTAGCTGTTCTCTGAAAAAAATATATTCATGTTTTGTAGTCCGTTTCAAGCTTTAGGTAGATGTCTATGGAGATTCTCAAGTCATCCAGGTCATGGTTGTCCCAAAAGTGCTTTTTGGAGAAGCAACCGGACTTTCTGGTTTTTCTTTGAAGACGTTATGCTTCTCATCCACAACTGAAAAAGTTTCTTGGATGAGAAGCAAAACGTCTTCAAAGAAAAACCAGAAAGTCCGGTTGCTTCTCCAAAAAGCACTTTTGGGACAACCATGACCTGGATGACTTGAGAATCTCCATAGACATCTACCTAAAGCTTGAAACGGGCTACAAAACATGAATATATTTTTTCAGAGAACAGCTAATGGCAAAGTACTTTGTATACGCTTATAAATGTTTTTAAGTTCTGTGCACTTACAAGAAGCCATCCTTGATACAAATTTAAAAGTTGCGCTTTAAACAGGAAGACGATCA